GAACCGATTATCACCCCTAATAATGACCATGCTAAGATCCCACTAATCTCTACTACTTGCTTTGTGTGATCATAGGATCTCCCAAATTAAAGAAAGAAATAAGAAGAATTAAATCAAGGGAAGACAAAAGGAGATCGTTACATCAAGAGAAAGTATAAATAGAGGAAAGCAATTAGACAAGACTCACGGAATGTGGTGGAGCAATCCTACACAATTAAAGATCAAACACTCTGTGATTAGCAATAGGTCTAAGAAGTAATAGGTGTTCACTATCTATATTGCTTGAGTGTTTGTGAGGTTGTGTAGTTTCTCTCTTTAGTGTCAGTTGTTGTGAAGAAGAGAGAAAGAACTATATATATTGCTCTATTCTTGTCAAGGGTTTGAGTTCCACTCAAAGGGACCCAACTTAGAGTTAGATTGAAATAAGATAAAAAGCTAGACACTAGGTCTCAAAGGGTGAGCACTTTTGAGTCAAGATGTAAGCAATAGGCTGAACTCGGTTAACAAAAAATCATGTGTGTGTTCTTCTCCTTACTCTCATCTTTCTTGTGTTTGCTTCTCAGTAGGTACACGTCTAGCTAGTCTAAAGTTGAAGATGACAAATAAGATTTTGGGCGATTGTGTCGAACATTTTTTTTTAATAATAGATTTTTCACACATGTTCTTGCAAACCTGGCGTACGTTGAAAAATTGCATATATGACTTGCACAAAACACCACACTAGAAATCCCCTCTAGAGCCCAAATTTTTAAACTCTAGAAGGGTGCAGCATAGGGCAAGTAAGTTTTAATTATCAACCCGGAACGATCTATGTACCCCTACTTCAATCGCTTAGGTTATTATCTAGCAAGCAACTTTTGGGTTTAGAAATTAGAACTAATGGAACTACAAACTAAACAAGTAAAGAAAAGTAAATAATGGAAAATTATAACTAAGGGAGCTTCACCTAGGAGTTGCTTCCCCCTAACTAGCTACCATGACTCGTTGGATTTAATGGAGTCGTGTGGTGTAGGTGGTTGTGAACCGCGAGGGTGAGCAACTAGGGATCGATTTGTCACGGAATGAATTCACTAGCGATCGATTTGTCACGAGATCGATCCACTCACAACGTCTAGGGGAACCGCCAGGAGGAGCAGCTAGTGATCCATATGTCACAGGATGGATTCACTAGAGATCGATTTGTCACGAAATCGATCCTCACACTAAGTATCTAGGGGTTTCCTAGGGCTCTCCCTCAAACCGGAGTTTGAGTGGCTTAATCACAACCAACCTAAATGCAAACTTGAGTCAAAGGGGATGCTCATTTCTAACCTAGATAGTAGGCGCAAAGTGCCCAAGAAAACCAAGCTTGTCAAGCCTACCTAAAAATGTGTGGTTTTCCTCTAATCTAGGTTAGGCAAGCACACAAGATTTGGAAAACACAACTAAGCACAATCACCATGAAGACACCTCTAATACTCAAATTGATGCAAACCCATACAAAATCATTCAATCTAAACAAGTAATTACAGAGTATTAGTTAGGGATCTACAACACCCAAGAGAAAAAAGTGAGTTTCTAGAGAGAGAAGAGAAGGAGTACAAATTTGAGCTCAAGATCTTCTTCTAGGCTTGAATCCTTGTCTTCAAAATCTACCCAAGCCTCCAATGAAGCTCCAAGATCACTCTAGCACTCTCTCTCTCTCTCTCTATCTCTCTCTTTCACTAGAACTCCCCTTTATTATTTTTGGGCAAACCCTAGAGAGGGAATTGAATTTCTCTCCGAAAACCAACTCTCCCTTTCTCTCTACCCGTTGTTGTCTTCATATTTGCCCGAAAGTGACCAGTTCACGGCCGTGAACACCTAAACGCGTTTGTGAACTCAGTGTCGTCCAAAACGCACCGCTTCACTCTCCTGGGTTCACGGTCAATGGCCCCAGTTCACGGTCTTAGAGACCGTGAACTGCCTTGTCGTCAGTAACTTCTAGAACCTCGCTGAACGCCTCGATGTTCACGGTTTGTGGTCCATGTTCACGGTCTTAGGATACCGTGAACTGCCTTGTTCGACCGTGAATTGCGGCTGTTTCCTGGACGCCTTCACTTCACTGTTACACTTCAGACTTTTCTTCGATTTTTGCGGTTTTTTTTACCTCCAATTATCCCAAAACTCGTCCTCGACCCTTCCACACGTGCTAGGACCTGAAATGTATCAAAACAAGCACAACCTAGCATGAAATATGTCAAAGAACGATGAAATACTAAGCTAAACGAATAAGATATGAGGGGTAAAATGTGTACATTTGGGTCCGAATCAATATAGAGCCATCGACTATAAAACTACCATTGCAACCTACTTTAACAGACTTCTTCATCATGTCATTCTTTGAGGCACCATGTCCCCGACATCACCTATCTCTATATGATGTTATGAATTACAACAGTCTTTTTGCTCATCCCTAATGATTTATTTTGAGGATCTCTTGTCACAATTGTGACGTCCTACAATTGTGGTGACATTTTTTTATGATCGAGGGAAGGGATGGAGGGCACAGTCGGAGAAGGAAGGAGAGAGGGAAAGAGTGGCTAAGGGGTCATGGAGAGAGGAAGACATCGACGAAGAGAATGTGAGCAGTGAGAAATGGAGGGAAAGGAGACATGAAGACGTCGATGAAGAACGATGGAGGGGGATAAATCGACAAGTTGAGAGATTTGATTCTCTAGACCCTTCCAATATTACCTCTAAAAATCTGGATCATAGGATTTGTGGGGATTTATAGACTTGTAAATGGATGGTGGATGGATGGTTGTCACTAATTGTCACCCTGGAAAAGGTTTGCACCTTTAACTTAAGTCGAGCTTCTCACAATTTGCAATATTCTTCAAAATTGCCACACTCCCTTCCCTCTCATAATCAAGGTTGTCAAACTGGTCTATACCGTAATACTGGTTAAGTAAGTGATATGATCCGACGAGGATACAACCAATCTATATGTTGGTTTCAACAAAACATGCGAGGAAAACGGGAAGCCATTAAAACCAAATGAATTATGCAACTATATAATCTCAATGTTAACAAAAACTCCATATATTACAAACAAAATTATCGAGCTATCATATTTGAATACAAAATTTAATATAACATCCAAATGTCTATATTTCAATCTAACAAATAACATTAACATAAATGTTCACGCCTTTTTTTTTTTTGCATTAGATGGAGGCTGAAGGCAAGAAAACAAAACAAGCTAGGAAGGCAGGATCATAGAAAGGTAGAGGGATGCGTCACAACCCGACACTCGAAAGAAATACCGATGGCATCGTCTATAAGAATCTAGGTCACTCATGAGTGTGGGTTAGCAAGTTCATGCATACCGTAGGGGTAGAGGAGACGGTGTTTCGAGAGCCAGTCCACAACTCTATTGCCTTCTCGGTATGTATGAACAACATTAACCAACTACTCTTGTGCCATTTTCCTCCGAATCTCCTTCAGGAGCGAAGCGTATGGATGTACAAGGTCCTGTTTGTTGTTGATAAGCTCTTTGAGCCAGTTTCAATGATAAGACTCTCATAGCGATGCTTCCAAGCTAGGTTCAATCCATGGTAGAAGGGCTAAGGTCAGCAAGTGCTGCGGATGCCTCGCTGACCTTTGCCACGAAGCCCACCACCCAACATATATTTATACTTGAATCTAACAAATTGCTCCCTTTTTTTCCTTATCGAAAAAAAAAACAAATTGCTCTTTTTTTATTAACTAATTTCACCAAACGACGCAATTTTATTTAGTGACGGGTGATTTCCCAATTTTAAACAACATTAATAATTGCTTATCGATTTTGACTGTCACTTTATATTCATGGGTTTCTAACCGATTTGGAAGAAAAAACCGGTTGAATCCAATTGTATGCTTTGATAACCATCATCCCAAGTAGGGCTGGAAGTTTGGTACCGGTATTTGGGATATACCGAATACCGTACCGAATTTGTCTATATTTGGTATTACCGAATACACGTATTATTTTTTGGGATTGGGATTGGGATTGAATTTCAATTGTTATTCGGTATTAGGGATTACGGGATTGGGATCGGTATATACCGAAATACCGATCAATACCGAAATATAAGCTAGTGTGTATTTTATCCTCTCAACTAGACTCTCTCATTCACTACTACACGACCCTAAACCACCAAGAGTGTCATTTAATTATACATAGATCATTCTATCACTATTAATAGTCGTCTCTCAACCTCCAATTCGTCAATTTAACGATTACCAATGACAAGAACTTGAGAAGTATCCTCTCCTCCATTCTCCTTAATAATATCTTTATTCAAGACACTTTACTTAGTCTTTTACCCCTAAATTAAACAATAAAATCTAATTTATATATTAATTTATTAATTGCAAAGGTAATTAATTTTGTATTCGATAATACCGATTGGGATACCAAACTACCGATTGGGATACCGAAATATTTAGGGATTGGGATTGGGATACCGAAATTATTTAGGGATTGGGATTGGGATTGACTTTAGGGTGTAATTCGGTATTCGGGATTTCGGTATTTGGTATTGGGATACCGATACCGTACCGATTTCCACCCCTAATCCCAAGTCGTATTGTTGTAAAATGTAAACTATAAAAGGAACAAAAACACTTGGCAAGAAAACAAATGCAAACAGTTAATCATGAATAGAAAAAAGATGAAGAATACCCACAGTCAAGAAGACTGCTCTTCCTTGCCCTCGTCTTTCCAAGCTTTACCCAGTCAGTTAATGGCCGCCCTTCTCTCTCCTCTTCTTCTTCCATCTCCTTCACTCTCATCCTAACCTTAACCTCCTCCATCATTTCCCCATCCCCTACCCCCAGGCTGAACCGGAAACCCGATCGACCAAAACCAGACAACGGCAATGGCGACGGCGACGGACACCTGGATCTGCTCGCTTCTGCATCTGAGTTTCGTCGTCTTGGTCTTCTCCATCCTCTCCCTTCCACCTCTCTCTTCCGCCATTGAAGACGACCTGATGTGCCTGGAAGGCGTCAAGAAGGCGCTGGACCCGGAAGGACGGCTCTCCACCTGGAACCTCAACAACAACTCTGTCTCCGCCGTCTGCAAGCTCGACGGCGTCTCCTGCTGGAACGAGAAGGAGACTCGAATCATCAGCCTCCAGCTCCCGGCGTTCCAGCTCTCCGGCCAACTCCCGGAGTCTCTCAAGTACTGCCGCAGCCTCCAGGTCTTGGATCTCTCCAACAACGGCCTCTCCGGCTCGCTCCCTCCCCAAATCTGCAACTGGCTGCCGTACATCGTCACCCTAGATCTCTCCGGCAACTCCATCTCCGGCTCCCTCCCTCCCGAGATCGTCAACTGTAAGTTCCTCAACAACCTCTACCTCAACGGCAACAAGCTGTCCGGTTCGATCCCCTACGGCCTCGGCCGGCTGGACCGGCTGAAGAAGTTCTCCGTCGCGGATAACGGCCTCTCCGGCTCCGTCCCGTCCGATTTAGCCACTTTCCCCGAGGCCGACTTCGACGGGAACGGCAAGCTGTGCGGCCGGCCGCTGGGGAAGTGCGGCGGATTGAGCGGTAAGAGCCTGGCGATCATAATTGCCGCCGGCGTGGTCGGAGCCCTTGGCTCGTTGATTCTAGGGTTTGCGATTTGGTGGTGGCTGTTCGGCAAGAGAGCGGCGGCGGCTGGGGGTCGGTTTGGAGCGGGTACCCGGAAAGACGATTCGAGCTGGATCGATTTGCTCCGGTCGCATAAACTCGTACAGGTTTCCCTCTTCCAGAAACCGATCAACAAGGTCAGACTCTCCGATTTGCTTGTGGCCACTAATCAATTCGAGTTCGAGAACATCATCATTTCCACTAGAACAGGGGTTTCCTACAAGGCTGTGCTGCCTGACGGGTCTGCCCTCGCCATTAAGCGACTCAGCGGTTCCAAGCTTGGCGAGAAGCAGTTTAGGTCGGAGATGAACCGGTTAGGACAGCTAAGGCACCCCAATCTGGTGCCATTGTTGGGTTTCTGTGTGGTGGAGGAAGAGAGATTGCTGGTTTACAAACACATGTCTGGTGGCACTCTGTACTCTCAGTTGCACGGGACTGGGTTTGGGATTGGTGAGGGATGTTCACTCGATTGGCCGACCAGGGTGAGGATAGGTGTTGGTGCGGCGAGAGGCCTGGCTTGGCTTCACCATGGATGTCAGCCTCCATACATTCATCAGTACATGAGCTCCAATGTGATACTCCTGGACGACGATTTCGACCCCAGGATCACGGATTTCGGGCTGGCGAGATTGGTTGCCACTCGAGACTCGAACGACAGTTCCTTCAATGGTGATTTGGGGGAGTTCGGGTACATTCCTCCCGAGTACTCCAGCACCATGGTTCCTTCATTGAAGGGGGATGTGTATGCGTTCGGAGTCGTGCTTCTCGAGCTGGTCACGGGGCAGAAGCCTTTGGACGTGGACAATGGCGACGAAGGAGGTTTCAAAGGGAACTTGGTGGACTGGGTGAACCAGCTAGTGATCAGTGGCCGGACCAAGGATTGCATCGATAAGTCGCTGGTGGGGAAAGGTCACGACGATGAGATGTCTCATTTCCTGAAAGTTGCTCTGAATTGTGTGGGTTCTAGGCCTAAGGATAGGCTGCCGATGTACCAAGTTTACGAGTCCTTGAAGGGTCTGGCAGAGAAACATGGGATCGCGGAACAGTACGATCGCGAGTTCCCTCTGGCGTTTGGCAAGCGGGTGGTGGGTGATTGCAAAGAGTAGCAGAAGATCGGTCCATCGGAAGGAAAAACAGAATCATGAATTCCTTATCAGTTTCTGAAAATTTGTTGCTTGCGTGGAGGATTTGAAGCATTTTTTTCTTCTTCTGAAGAGCATTAGAATGCTGCTGCTGCTGTTTCTCCTACTTGAAGCAGGATGGATCCCAAGTGTTCATCATCATCTTGTTGGTACAAAATTTTCTGTATATTATTTTCATGAATCAGATTATGCCCCCACACCACTACCATCACTGTACTTGTAGTTTGGTGTGCCTTAGCAATGCAGTCGCCGGAGTGAAAAAGGATTCATGCTTTGTAACAAATAGTCGCCGGAATCGTAATATTTTGCTTCTCTGAGGAGATGTTTGCACCTGCAGTTGCGGACACCATGTTCGGCTTGACCATGTCCTACTGGAAATCTGTTCGAACTAGTGTTGTCAAGCTGTAGTTAGGTCGGCCTGTTCGACCAGGTCCGATCGGATCCACAAAGCGGGTTTCCCTCAAAATCGATAGCCGATCAAAACCGCAAGAAACAAGTGGTCTGATCGAATTGTTTGGTTTAAGACTTTTAGACAGAATGTTGTGTTTTGGTGCTCATCCAAACCCTATTCCGAAATACAAAGCAAATATACGCAGCTCTGTTTTCAGGCTTACAGAAAATGTTTTTTGGTCCTCACTCAAACCCTATTCCGGAAAACAGAGCAAATATATGCAGCTTTCAGTGTCACTTGACATATATAGGCATATATTTCTATATTATCTATAAAATAGTTTAAACCAGTTAAACCCCAATATGATCAATGAACCTCAAATCGTTTGTTTGGACGACTCAACAGTTCAAACAAATTTGACAACCTTGGTCTGAAGTCTGAACCCTTGCTGATTAGCAGAGCCATGTCATTAATTTAGGATCTGGTAGTATCGGCTTATAGCGTAATTAAATAAACATGTTGGAACTTGGAAGGGCTTAAATCACTTTCATGGTCGGCCAGTTAGTTAAATCAACTTGGGCATAGTTACGTGCACCACATTATTAAAATACTTAACGTTCTAGGAGTTGGAAGGCGTCTAAAAACACTCCCAAAACAAAATGATTTGGTTGTTGATAATGCCGATTAAAAATAAACTATTACCATATCCATACGTAAATGCTCCGTAATTTAAATGCTCTGTTTGTATGTGGAGAACACTCGTCATCTGTCGTGGATTCTAAGCGGCCACCGAAACAAAAGCAGGGCACCAAATTCTCGTGAAGGCCGGTGAAAAAAGGACAAATGAGCGTAAAAGATTATTGGTTCGGTCAGCGATTCATCGCCGGGGGTCTGCATCATAACTGACATTTGATTTGCTTTTCGAGGAGTGAAGTGGAAACGGGGGGCACGTGGTGGCGTTGAAGGCAAAAAGAGCCAGACCGTAGGATGGCAATTTCGACCTGACCCGTTTTACCTGACCTGTTTGACCTGTTTTGGGGCGGGTCCGACCCGCCCCGTAGGCGGGGCGGGCATGGGTAGTCTCATCGACCCGACCTGCCCTGACCCGCCCCATTCTCGACCCGTTCTTGTCTAAATTACATGTAATCTTAGTCAAATTACTTAGAATTTTTCTTTTATTGCATTGTATTTTAGCTATAATAAAGTTGTAAATTAGTAAAAACTTCAATTTCTCCAATAATTTAACTACAATTGTCATAATATTGTTTATTTTCTTAGTCTTATAATAAAAATAACGAATATTTCTAATGTTTTTCATATAAATTGCTTACCCATTGGGTCGACCTGCCCCGACCCGCGACCCGTGATCAATTACCCGACCTGGACCCGACCTGCCATGGGGCGGGTCTGGGTACCAAGAAACCCGCCCCGGACCTGCCCCATTGCCATTCCTGCTAGACCGGATAGAAGAGAGTCAGTTTCGCAATATTTCAGTGAGATACAGATTATAAAAGACTATGAGAAATATTATAATACTTCTATATGGTCCAACTCTATTTCAATTTGGTAAAGAAAAAAATGCTATAACCAGGTCCAAGAATATGAATCCAAACAACCGTAGATCGGGGGCATTGTCATGAGTCCCACCGAACGTCGCTCCTGGATCCCACTCACCAGCAGCGGATCCAGGATAAGGTAGAGCACTAGGCTACATTTGAAAAGAGGCGGAGAGGACTCGGACGTAATCCGACGAGCACGGAAACGAATACATAAAATCGAAAATTTACAAAGGCTATACTAGCTCTGGATCCGGGGAGGGCTGGGTCGTGGCCCGGGGGCGGCCCCGTTGATCCGTTGTTACCACTCGCTGACCGGACAGCGAGACCCCATTACATCCAGTCGTAGTGCAAGATAGTCTGATTTAAGTCACATCAACACTTAACTTCCATGTATTCTCACATGGTATAGATTGGTAAAAAAATGGCTCAATTTTTTTTGTTCCAAAAATATATCAAAGTGGATATCATTTTGAAGAACACAATTAATCCGATCTAACTGTGCAAAAAAAAAATTCCGACTAAAAAGAGTTAGAAATCGTCCGTTAAACATTAAGGGGAAAGAATTAAAGACTTTTCAAAAGAGAGAATGACTCTAATGTAGCTAATTCTAATTAAATTATGCATAGTTATTGAATGCATCCGCTCGTGATTGCAATCAATGCGTGTAAAAATAAATCAAGTAGGTACTCCTATCATATTCATATAATTAGTTTCTTGCTTTGAGGTTGGGACAAGAGTGTGGGTGTGTTTCTAATTTCTATACCCAGGACATACATCCATGGTCAAGACCACAACACTTTTTAGACTAAAAAAATAAAATAAAAAATCCCCATATATAGGTTGGCGTGGAGTTGCCAGTTTGGTTTGTTTTTCATTTGTCCAATTCATTAAGCATTAAGTTTCAAAATCAAATCATACAAATTTCAAAAAATTAAAACCAAAACCGTTAAATGCTTTATCAAAAATCAAATGCATCATTTGTGAGTCAAAAATGGAGTCAGAATAGACAAAATGAAGCATGAAGATATGAAAGAAGTGTCAAATACACATAAAATAGTGACAACACCTGTTACTGACTAGTATTGACTTAGTTACGATGTTATCAGGTTCTTATTGAGGTTCAATTTTAAAGAAATCAAAATCATTAAGTTAACGGGTATTAACTTAGTTAGGGTGTTATTGGTTTTTTATTGGGTTTTCAATTTTAACAAAATCAAAATCATTAAGGTGTTAACCATTTTTAAACCAAAAATCAAAACCATCAAACTTCTTATCGGTTTGGTTTCAATTATGTAGGAGTTCAAATGATTGAATTGAAATGAACTTCTAAGCTACGTACTGATTTATACAGAATATGGTGTTGCTGTCTTTGAGAAAGAAGTATAAACAAAGCTATCATGCATTAGTGATATGTAGGTGAACATTATCCCACATTATCTCATATGATATAGTCTTGAATACTAACAGTTGGGACAACATTGAGCTGCTCACATGATTTATGTGCTCTCCAATACTCCCCCTCAAGCTGGCGCGTGAAGGTCACGAATAGCTAGCTTGCGAAGAAGGTAGTGAAAGCGATCTGACCCAAACCCTTTGGTGAAAAGGTTGGCAACTTGATCATGATAACTTATTTTAAGTGGATAGATGTCTTGACTTCGGATGCGTTCATAAAAAAAATGACAATCCATTTCAACATACTTGGTGCGTTCATGAAAAACAGGATTGTTAGCGATGTGAAGAGTAGCCTGATTGTCACAATAGAGTTGTGCGGGACCTGAGGATTTGATCCAAGGTCACAAAGGAGAGCTCGTAGCCAAAAAATTCACTAAATGTGGTAGCCATAGCGCGGTGTTATGCTTTAGCTGAGGAACGAGAGACCACCTATTGCTTTTTTGTGTCACCAAAAACAAAAAATTGACCAAGGTAGATGATGTAGCCGGTCGTGGAGCGGGGAGTGAGCATGAAACCACCCTAATCAGCATCATAATAATCATGTAGAATGAGGGGATTAGAGGATGGGAAAAACAGACCCTGTCCTGGTGACCATTTGAGGTAACATAGGACTCTGAGTGCTGTTGTGAATTGTGATGTGTTCCTACTTAGGGTTCCCAACAAATTGACATAAGAAGTTGACGACATACTGAATGTCTGGTGACAGTTAAATAAAGTAGACGACCGTAAGACGATGCTAGGGTTCAGGATCGTTGCTTGGAGTGTCTGCTAATGCAAATCTATTATTTTTGCTCTATCGGGAAGGCCCTAGGAAGACTATGAGTCAGGCCCTTATCGGAGAGAATGTAGAGGGTGTATTTGTTGACCGAGGACAACTCCGTTGGGTGAACGAGCAACTTTTATCCCAAGAAAATACTTGAGTGGTCCCAGGTCTTTGATGTTGAACTCAGTATTAATGCATGACTTTACATGGGAAATGAAGGAGGGATCATTTCCTAATAAGATGACATCTTCAATATAAAGTAAAAAAAGGTTGACGGTGTACCCTTGGTGGAAATGAGAACCGAAGTGAATTTGACATGGCAGTCACACAAAGCTTGACAAAGCCCCTATATGGAACGGTGAAGCTTGCAAACCATTGTGTCTCAGGGGAGACGGAATCCCTCCAGTACCTTCATATAGACTTCTTCGTCGAGGTCACCATGGAGAATGCATTGTTGACGTTAAGATATGCAGATGCCATTAGGGGGATACCGCAACTGTGATGAGACAACGAATGTGATGAGCTTTGCTACGGGGGCAAGTGTTTCATAAAAATCTATGCCAGGAATATGTGTGAAGTCTTTAGCTATCAGTGGCGCCTTGTAGCATTCAACATCACCATATGGCTTAAACTTTACTTTTTACATCCATTTGGAGTCGATGGAACTTTTTCTTGGCGGAAGGGGTGTGAGAACCCAAGTATGGTTCGCTTCTAAAGCAATGATTTCCTTCTGTATGGCCACCCACCAATAAGAATGGTTTGCTGCCTATTTGCATGTATTATTTTCAAATAAGACAAA